GGCTCTTCTTTAAAACTGCAGATTGTGCAGATGCCTCGTACTAATAATTTCTTAATTACCAAATCTAATGGTCTTTCTCAATATTCATCCTTTCTTGAGTTCTCTGCAGTCTTTGAAACTGTCGATCACCCTTTTCTCCCTGAAACTCTCTACTCTCTACATTTCCAGGCCACTGCTCTCTCCAGGTTCTCCTCCTACCTCTCTGACTACTCCTTCTCAAGCTCCTTAGCTGGACCTGTATCTGGGTCTCACCTGCTAACCATTGTAATCTCCCCAGACCCTGTCCTGGGCCCTCTTCTCTTCTTCTTCCAGACTGTTTCATTTGCTGATTTCATCCCAGAAAAAATCCTTTTTGGCTTCCAAAGCCCTTCATAATCTGCCTCCTCCTACCTTTCCAGTTTCCTTACACCTCTCTCCCTTTCACATATTCTGTGATCCACTGACACTGGCCTTCTTCCTGTTCCTGGCACACAACACTCCATCTCTCAACTCCCCATCACTCTCTCTGGCTGTCCCCTATGCCTGGAATGTTTGCCCTCCTCATCTCTACCTTTTGACTTCCTTAGCTTTCTCCAGGTCTCAGTCAAAGTCCCAGCTCCCATAAGAAGTCTTTCCCAGCACTCTTTAACCTTAGAGACTACTCTCAGTCTTTCCTATACATAGCTGTTTCTTTGCTCTCCCCCTTGAGCTCCTTGAGAGCAGGACCTGGTTTTTTCTTTTCTTTGTATACCCAGGACTTAGCACAGCAGCTGGCCTATAATAGGTGGCTAAGAAATGCTGTTGACTGACTGATTCATTAAATTAGCTCTGGTGGCCTCACCCACCCCCACCCAAATAGAGCAGCTGTGTAGGACCATAGACTTTTGGAGCTAGAACAGGCCACAGAGGCAGAGCTGGACTCCTTCAGGCTGATCCTGAGTCTCCGTATGTGTGTCAGGGTAGGGGAAGAGTTGGCAAGTTTGGTAGCCTGAGCATGCTGGGCACTTGAGAAAAAGAAGCCTAAAGGTTGGAAAAGCTATTCGAAAAAAAAGAGCAGGGAGGGAATCACTGACAAAGTAGTTACTTGCAAATTTTACCTGGAGTCAGTCCTATGATGAAGAAAAGGGAAAGAACCACCGCTCTTCCTCCTCTTCTGCTCTCCAGAACTCAGACTAGTGCTATCCATCCTATAATCATATTATCCACGAACAACGTTCCATGGGCTAGCCTGGGAACCTAAACCCCATTTGTAACATGGTTTCTTCCCTCATTCCCTTAGCCCAACATTATTCCTTGTCAGCAGATCCTATCCCTGGATTATTCTCACCATCTGTTGCTGAGTGGGGCTGAAGAAAGTCACACAGCTGTACTGATTGAGTCCACTATAAATTCACACTGCCTCTTCTCAATCAGACTAGCAATTGTTTCACCGTGATTCCTTAGCCTATTATGAACAGGTAACCCTTCTCTCCTCCAGTCTCTTACCCCTTCCTTTCCTTCCACTTTCTCAACTGAAAACTTTGCTTTTTTTTTAACTGAGAAAATTGGAGTCTTTCACTGTGAACTTTCACTTTCGCCCTTCTCTTCACCTCAAAATCCCTTGTCATCATTCCTCTCCTTCTTTCCTCCAAGCTCCATTAATATGGCCCATCTCCTAAACAAGGCCAGCCCCTCCACATGGAGGGGCTGATTCCAACCCCTTTTCATCCTACCCAGCAAATTGCTCACTTTTCCCCTTTGTAATAGTCAATCTGTCTCCATCTATAGCTCTTCAACCTTCTTTAGACCCTACCATCCCCTTAATCTATCATCCTGTGTCCATCCTCTATTTCTCAGTCATCTGTACTCATTATTTCCACTTTCTCTCCTCTCCCTCTATCCCTAACCCTCTTTCAGACAGGCTCCCAACTACATCTATAAACTAAAACTGCTTTCTCCAAAGGTGCCAATGATCTCTTAAAGGCCAAATGTGATGGTCTTGTCTCAAGACTCATCTTCCTTGATCGCTTATGTTACAACTGACACTGTAGACCACCCTCATGCTTCCTAGACATTCATTCCTCTCTCATTTGTAAATTGAAATTATATTGATATCTTTGTTTTTACGCACCTTCCATTTCTGACGCTATCCCCTTCTCCATGGCCTCCCAGGGGCCATCACTTATAATAAAGAGGGAAAAAGGAATAAAAAAAAAGCAAAACTAACCAACATATTGAAAAAGTCTATTGTATGCAGGTTGCTGTACCCATTGTTCTTAACTCTCCCAGGACATGATTGGTTTTTTTTCATGCTCACATGGAGCTAAACTTATAATTCTCATTTTAAAGCATTATGTTTTGATTTTGATGTTCTATTTGATTTGTTGTGGGTTATTATTTTCCTGCTTCGGCTTAACTTACTTTGCATTATGTCTTCCCACGCGTCTCTAAATTTATCATTTTAATGGCTACTTATAACACAATAATATTTCATTAAATCAAGCACAATAATTTGCTTAGCATTTCTAAATCAATGGGCATTTACTTCATTTCCAATTCTTTGATTCTGTGAAAAAAAATCCTGCTATTATTTTTTTTGTGTTTAGGAAACCTTCTCTTGGTCATTGATCTCCTTGGGGTATGATGTGAAAACATCATAAACATTCTCCATGTGTGACTAAAATGAAAACAATGATTTGGATCAAAATTTTCCTATCAAATTTACAGAAGACACAAAACTGGAAAGGATAGCTTGCATACTGGATGATAGGATTCAAAAAAATCTTGTCAGACTGAATAGAATAAGAGGCAATTTAATCAGCTCATAGGTTAAGTTTACTAGAAAATATCTTTACATTTAGGTTCAAGAAGTCAACTTTACAAGTAAAAACTGGTGGGACATGTCTGTCTTATCTGAAAAAGATCTTGGGGTCTTAGTCACCTTCAATTTCAATATGAGTCAACTGTGTTGTGGCAGGCAAAAAAATTAATGCAACCTGAGGCAACACTAGGAGAGGCATTGTGTCCAAGAAAATGAAGGCCAGAGTGTTGCTGCACTCTGCCTGGTGAGATCACATCTAGTATACTTTGATCAGTTCTGGGAAAGACATTGATAAACTGGAGGATGTCCAGAGAACGGCTATCAAGATGGCGGTGGGGCTCAAGGTTATGCCACATATCAAAGCCAAGGAAAAAAAAACTTAAGGCAGACCTGAAGACAGGAAGAACATAAAGAAGCATTTATTAAGAGCCTACTATGTGGCAGGTACTGCACTAAAAATAATCTCATTTGATCTTTACAACAATCCTGGGAGGTAGCTGCTGTTATTATCCCATTTTACAGTTGAAGAAACTGTGGCAGACAGAGGTTAACTGACTTGCCCAAGGTCAAGGTAAGGGTCTGAGGCCAAATTTGAAGTCAGGTCTTCCTGACTCCAGGCCCGCTGCTCTATCTACTGCATCACCTAGCTGCTTCAAGTTTCAAGGGCTTGGCATGGAAGTCATATTAGCCTGGCTAGCCATAGGGCTAGAAAGCAGAACCAAGGACAGCTCGCTGAAACAACAAAGAAGAAATCTGGGGCTCAATGTGGGGATAAACTTTTTAATAATTCAAGCTCCTCCCCTCCCCAAAAGTGGGTTGCCTCAGGAGGGAGCAACTTCCTTGTCTCTTGGAGTTCTTCAAGGATGGCAGAGAGAGGTTTCTTGCTCGACAGTGATTGACTGGACTAAATGGCCATGAAGCTTCCTTCAGACTCTTAAATTATTGACTCTACAGAATGATTAACATGGGTAGTACATGGAGCTCTAAAAATCAGAAGCAACTATTTCACTGTCTATTCAAATATACACGGAAAACAACTAGAAAGTGGCTCATAGCTATCTTCAAAGTTTCCAGTGGAGTGGGAGAGGTCAATTTCCTTTCCTAGCGAAAAATAACCTAAGAGCATAATCACAGGTCTCAAAAATGTTAGTCATGTGTATTTGGAGCCCCCAAATGCATTTATCAAGCGTGTCTTTTGCCAAGCAGAGAATATTCTGCCCACGATGGACAGTGAAGCATACAGACCTAAACATCTCCATGCCTTAAGCCATTGCTATCATTCAGAGTTCTTGGGGAGGGCTTCTCACCAGTCCAGAGGCACCATGGTGCCATCCTTTATTCAGACTTCTGTGCTCATTTAAAATGTGGAGACAAGGGGGCAGCTAGGTGGTGCAGTGAATAGAGCACTGGCTCTGGAGTCAGGAGGACCTGAGTTCAAATCCGGTCTCAGACCCAACACTTGACACATACTAGCTGTGTGACCCCTGGCAAGTCACTTAACCCCCAATTGCCTCACAAAAAAAAAACCCAGAAAATGTGGAGACAAAGCAAAGATGTGGGTGGGTGGGCCTTCTTAAAACGGTGAGGCCTTTAAGGGTTGACAGCAATCTATTATAAATTATTCACCCGTCAACATCAAAGCATTAGGCTGAATCAGCCTGGGAACAACAAAGCTAGCCCTGCCAGAGTACTGCATCCAGAATGTATATCTCAAAGGCTGTGCCCATGATTCTACCAGAGAATGTTCTAGTGCCAAAAGTGCACCCTTTTCAGAGGGAGACAACTGACGTTGTCACATGGTCAGCCTCAAATCAAGCCCGTCCTGGTAACAAGCCTTACAATCATATTTTCTTTCCAAAATCAAATTCATCTGAAATCATAATGAAATTATTATTTGTACAAATATTTAACTATTAAATATGACAACATGCTTATACATATTCTGTACTCTAAAAATTGGAAGCTATTCACTGTTGATTTAAACACATGGAAAACAAAGTAGAAAGGTATATATGATCACACACACACACACACATACACACACACACACACACACACACAGAGCTATCTTCAAAGTTAGCCATAAAACAGCTATGACTTTTGTGTCCAGGTTCTGGTGTCTTGTTGGAATCTAAAAGTGTGTGTTTGCTTTTTAAAATTGTGGATAATAAGACGGAAATTTTTTTCAATGTATAAGCTAAAGTGAGTTATCACACATCAATAAGGTTTTTCAAAAAGGTTATATTCCACTCAGAATGATATACATAAAAAGTAAAATAAACATAAGGCAGAAATGTCTGTTGATTATATCAAATATACAATATTTTACAGGACGTATAAAGGTGTCAGTTCTACAGACAGATTGTATAAGGTACATAGGCCATTCAATTACACAGGCATATTACTAAAATGAAGCAGCAGCTGGTTCACCCTGCCTCACACCTGCCTCATGCTGCATTCACTGTTCCACTGGAGAAAGGGACAGGGTGCGAGGGAATAACTTGAAAGAGGAAAGTGACCACAAAAGGAAGAACTGAGGAAAGAAAGAAAGCATCCCTGCTCAACTCTGTCCAATGACCCTGCTAATAAGGAAAACAAAGAGAACTAGTCAGAAGAAAATGGACCCAAAAGGAAGAATTGTAGTGTATGAGAATCCCTGCTCAATTCTGCCCAGTGACCCTGCTGATAAGGGAGAACAAGAAATAAAGGGATAGTGATGAGAAGGAAAGAAGAGTCATCCTCTCGCACCAGGACTCACTCTAGACTGCTTCTCCATCCCACGATGACTCAGGGTGGGGAAGTGGGGGGTGTTCTGACCAGTGTCCTCACATCTACCACCACCTGTGTTAGAATGATCAATGTTCCTAGGTTATAGATTATAGATTTAGAGCTGGAAGAGATCTAGAGGCCATGTAGTCTGATACCTTCATTTTACAGATAAGGAAACCGAGGCATAGGGGAGAGAAAGTGACTTGCATGAGGTCATGCAAGCAGTCAATAACAGAGCTGGCACTTGAACCCAGGTCTAATGAATGAGGGATGGGGAAGAGAGGTCATCTCCTACTGGGAACTTCCTTTACCAACTAAGAGTGGCATAGGAGCAATGCACTATGACAAAAATCATCACAAACCTTAGAACTGAAAGGGACCCCATGGGAAGCACATGACCTAGCTCTCTGCCTTCAAGCTGCTGTGGGAGCATTAGCCCCATTTTACAAAGAAGCCAAGTGAGGCCCAAAGAGTATAAGGCACAACTGGCAGTCAGGACTAGAACCCAGGGCTCCTACTTCCCAGTAAAGTCCTTCTAAATAATTTTGGGGGGTGTCCCACACCTATTATTTCATCCTGCAGAGAAGAGCCCTGTGAGACTTCCTTCTACTGATGCAAATCAGCAATTTGCCTTCAAACTGTTTTCAAGAGAGTTGCCTGGGGACCCCAACGAATGAAGTGATTTACTCAGGGCCACGCAGTTCGAATGCACCCAAAGGACTTCAACCCAGGTCTCCCTGACACCAAGGCTGTTCCACTAACCACTGCACTCCGCTGTCCCTCTAAAGCAAGGGCTCTCAACCTTGGTGTCATGGACCCCTCCCTTTGTAAAATGGCAAAGCCTTGGGACTCTTTCTCAGAATCAAATAAAATACATAGAATTACAAAGGAAACCTAAGGTTAGTGGGAATGAAGAGCTAACTTGTTTTTCCATCTAAATTCCCAGATCCCCAGAAACCTATCCTCAGACATTTGTGGACCCAGGCTAAGAACCCCTGCTCTAAAGAATTTTCCCCCTTCATATTTCATAGTTGGATGGGGCAAGGGACCTTAGCAATTCAATTCCTCTCTATGCAATCAGCACTTATTAAGCACCTACTATGTGGTGAGGGGTTTGTGCTGGATGCTGAGAGGCCAATTCCCTTCATGCCTCTCCCTCAGTATGGGACTCCCAGATCGAAAGCCACCTGCAATCTCCGTAGGCACACCTGCCCAGCTGTGTGGCACTGGTGAGCAGTAATGGATTACAAAGCTGTCTTAAATAATTTTAAAAATGACACACGCACGTACACACATGCACGTAAAACCCAGCTTGGAAAATGAGTGGAAACAAAAGGAAACTAAATATTATAACTCATAAAAATGAATATGGGGAAAGAACCATCTGCTGGTAATGGAACTATGGCTTTAAGTGACTGGTACTTTCCCTTAATAAACTGGATTATACAGATACAAAAAAGGCATAAGAAAATGTGGGAAGGTGATATGATATCACCCCACACGCTTCTACCGGGAGGAACTCCTAGAGTATGAGTGATCACGAGCTGAGTCCAAAGTGGCCACTCTCCGACATCCTGCCACTGCTACCAGCCAAAGTCATCCCCTCTCCCAAATACAAAGAAGAAGCCTTGAATGGTGATAAAAATGACCGCGTTGCCAGCTAACACCAGGCCACAGGCTCCCCACTTGATCTGAAATGCAAGAGGAGAAAGACCATTACATCAACCTGGATTTTAGACACAGGCCACTGTTTACAAAATCTCTGTGATTTTTACTCATTAAGAACATCAAACCAAATACCACATGCAGATGCTAAAAGGCAGAACTATGGGGCTGTTAGACTAATTACTGCTGCAATGGCCGCTAATTAAGCCCGATAACAGCCTCAATGTTTTCCCCATTAGGCACATCTCTCCAATCTACTTTTCCCCTCAAAGGAGAGGATTGCTCTAACTTAACAAAATTGTAACAATAAATGAGGCCCGTCACCATTCTATGCATCCAGAGCTCTCAGTCAGGGTAGGAGATTGGTTTTTTGAGAAAACAATGTCAACCATAATCATTTCTGATACACGGGCAAATAGCTTTCTGGAGTTGGGGAGTCTTAAACCAGATAACACAGGATGCAGACATTTTGTCTTGAGGGATGGCAGACAGAGAGATGAGAGAGCCCTCTAGTGGACATTAGTGTTTCAGCTTCTAGAGAAGGCTATGGACCCCTTCTCATTATTCCATTTTTAAATGTATAAAATAAAATACAGAAGATTGCAAAGAAAATAAATTATATTTAAATACAATTACCAAAATAACTTTTTTTAAGTTCATGCACACCAAGTTAAGTATCATTAGAGAAATGGAAAATCTGGTTCAGATACAACCAACACAGGATAAGACGGTCATCAGTTTAGAGCTAGAAGAAACCTTCGGGGTCCCGGAATCAATACATTCAACAAGTGCTGTGTGCCAGGCACTATTCTAGGCACTAGATGTGCAAAAAACAAAAAACAAAAAACAAAAAACAGAAAAAACAAAAACAAAAACAAAACAAAAAACAAACAAAAAAAAATTTAGTCCCTGTCCTTGAGGAATTTGCATTTTGTATATTTCTCATTTTTGTTGTTTTTAGTCAGGTCCAACTCTTCCTGACTCCTTTTTGGTGTTTTCTTGGCAGAGTTACTGGACTGCTTTGCCATTTCCTTTTCCAGATCATTTTACATATGAAGAAACTGAGGCAAACAGGGTTAAATGACTTGCTCAGGATCACACAGTTAGTAAGTGTCTGAGACCAGATTTGAAATCAGGAAGATGAGTCTTCCTGATTCCAGGCCCGGCATTCTATCCATTGTGTCACAGATGAGGAAAACTGATGCTCAGAGAGGTATCAAGATTTTCCCAAGGTCACACAGACAGTAAGTGATAGAATTGGGATTTCAGTCAGGTCCTCTGACTCTCAATCTAATGTTCTTTCCATGCTATAGATCACAAGACATAATGCAGTGTTCATTGTAAGAAGAGGAGAAAGGCAAACCCTTAAGGAGAAATTTAAGAAAAGATAACATAAGTCAACACAGGAAAAAATGCAGTGGAGAATCGGCATTATGTCCAAAATAATTTCTCCTAACTGAAGTGAAATAGCGAGGTCAGAAGTGAAGAAAAGACCAGAATTAAGAGGATGAGTACTAGACTCTTGTGAACTGGGCCTCCCAGTTCAACTCCAACTAGGAGATTCAGTGGCTCTGGGTTTTGGTTTCGGTCCTTTCTGAGACACAGACTCTAATTCTGTTCTGAATCTCTAATGCAATGTGATCAGTTCAACAAACATGATTTACCCTGGAGAAAAGATTAAGGAGGGAAGAGATAGATGAGATCAAGTGTCTGAAAGACCAGATATGGAAGAGGGATTAGCTGTATCCACTGCCATTAGAACAGTAGAGAATGACTTGCTCATTAGAATGCTTCACTGACAGTAATAAAGAGCAGGATTTAGATTTAATGTAACAAAGAGCCGTTATCGATGAATGCCCTCTAAGATTATCACACATTTATCCCATCTGCTTCTGGTGTGTACATCTTTATTTGCATCTGGAGCCCCGTTAGAGTGTGAGGTTCCTTGAGGGGCAGCTAGGTAGTGCCATAGTGCAAAGCGGAGTCAGGAAGAATTCAAATCTGGCCTCAGACACTTAGCTGTGTGACCCTGGGCAAGGCACTTCACCCTGTTTGCCTCAGTTTCCTCATCTGTAAAATGAGCTGGAGAAGGAAATGGCAAACCACTTCAGGATCTCTGCCAAGAAATGGCATGTCCCAAGTGAGGGCATGGAGTTGGACATGACTAAACAAAAACAACATGCTCTTGTTTGGGGCGGGTGGGGGGGGGGGTGTTCTGCCCAATGCTTAACACAGTGCGTGGCACCCCACAGGCACTTAATAATGACTGTTGACTTGTCAAATGGGCAAGTTGGGATGTCTGGGAGGTAATGGATTCCTCTTCACTAAAGGTCCTCAAGAACAGGATGGATGACCATTTATTTACTGGGGAGGCTGCCTGATTTCAACTCCAAGAAGCAAGATGCCCCTCCCGGGTTAAGCTCATCACCTCTAATCTCAGCACCATGTGACTCTGTTGTTTATATTTTGTTGTTGTTTTTTATCCATCACCTAGGGGTGACGTCTTGACTCATATGTGAATTGCATTTAAGTGAGGCAGAGCTGCACAAAGTCCTCAGCCTCACTCTCTCCTCCAGAGTCATCAAAGTCCAGAGGCAGCACAAAAGTCAAGCGACTGGTGATGGCCCGAGATTCGATGGATGACCTTGGCATCTTCCATTTCTGACCAACCTCTAAGCCCTCCACAGTGCCTGCTTCAGTTCATTCTGCCAGGGGGAAGTCTTCACATGCATGGGGTAGAGACCCCCCTAACTCACTGATGGGTTTGAGGCCCATCGGTTACCCTCAACCTGGTTTACCCCACCTGCTGAGACAGTTAATCAGGGTGTGGTCGATGTTCATGCTACAGCTTCTTGGAGCCACAGGTGAGAGCTGGGTGCCAGGTAGACAGCAAAGATGAATGAGCAGCCCTGAAAAAGGGTTTGGCAAGCCCTCTCATAAGAGGCGCTAGTCCTCCCTGAATACCCCATACTCCATGCTGCTAACTCAAGCTGTGATTGGCACCACCTCCCACAGCTTCATCTTTCTTCTGATTAGAGAGCTGAAAAGGAGAGATCCAAACTCCTCCCAATGCCATCCTTTATAGAGAGCAGATACAGGACTCTCGGGTCATTCCTCTCTGCACCTGCTGCTTGGCCTGGCTCTAGGATGCCTTTCCATCAGTTACCCCTGTCTCCATCCAATTTTTCCCTTTCCTACTTCCTTAATCTCGCTGTCTTTACTGCTCTACCTCAGACTATAAACTCCTTGAGGGCAGGGGTGGTCTTTCTTTTTATTAACTGTATCCCCAGAACTTAGCATAGTACCTGACATATAATAGGCACGTAACAAACGTTTATTGGATTGGATTGTTGAGTTTGTTGTCTTGAGAAGGATTGGGTTGATTCTTTGATTCTGTCTTTTCTAAGATGAAGAGAATCATTTCGTACTAGATCCCTCAACAGTCAGTGATCAGCTCCACAAGAATGTATTTACTAAGATAGATTGCTTGGCTCAGGATCCCAGAGCCCCAGAGCTGGGCAGGGTCTCAGCAGATATTAGGTCCAATTCATACCAGGAAGGAATACGATACAGAAAAGGGACAAAGGGGAGACAAAAGGAATGGAGCAATTTTGTCAACCCCTTGTCAAATTTAATGTGCCTGGTGAGGAAAACCCTGTATGTTGAATCCCAGGATCAGAAATTCAGAACCAATGGATATGGGTAGACTGATGAATATATGGATAGATAGATGTACAGATGGATAAATAGACTGATAGATACATGGGTGTGGATAGACTGATGGATAGCTAGATGTATGGATAGATATGGATAGACTGATGGATGGGTGGATGCATAGATGGATGGATCAATGAATATCAATAGACAGATGGAAGCACACGGATAGATACATAGACAGACAGACAAATACATCTGGTCCTGAGAATTAAAGCTAAAAATCTAAATGGAAGGATTAAAAATGAAGTCTGTGGATGACACAGACACAGATTGACAGCTGGAAGAGATCTCCAAGGCCATTTGGTCCTACTTCCTCATTTTACAGATGAGAACCCAAGGAGGGACTTGTTCGAGGTCACAGGTTTAAGTGGCAGGATTCCAACCCAGGCCCCTGACTCGAAGGCCAGGGCACCTCCCCTTACACCAAGCTCAGTCACAGGCCTCAGCATGACCTCACACACAAGCAGACGAACACACCCAAGGTATCTCTTACCAAAGAAACTCTTGCGAGGATGATAGGAAGTCCAAAGGCAGACACAACGATCCCTGTGGTGAAGAAGTACGCCAGTTCCTGACAGGCACTACTTGAGGCATCCGAGTCATCTGTGACTCTCTTGGCAATGAAGTAAGGGATGGGGGAGATCACGTGAAATATCAGCACGAACAGAGGCCAGTACACTCTGTCGGGGAAGGTGGAGGAGAAACAACAAACAGTCAAAATTGGCACAGGAGAAGCCAGTGGCATCCCAAATTCTCAGCATGTCTCAGTTGGAGAGGATCTTGCCAGATAAAATGGTGTAGAGGCAGCCCACGTTAGCGGAAAAAGCCCCAGACTTGGGCTTGGTCCAAATTCCAGCTCTCACATTAACGAGCTATTTGATAAGCTCCCCTCCCTGCAACACATGGCACGTGGAGGAAGCACCTGACTCGGGGTCAGGAATGCCTCGGTTTCAGTCTGGCCTCTTCTGAGTTGTCACCCTAGGCATGTTATTTAACCTTTGTCTTCCTCAGTTTCCTCATCTGTGAAATGGAGATAATAAGAACATCTCTCTCACAGAGTTGCTGTGAGGCTCAAACGAGATAGCACATGCATAGAATTTTGCAAATATTTAAGGGCTCCATAAATATGAAACTTGCTCTAAGTAACTATCCTAGATGTGTGATCATGTCACTCTCTTCCTCAATAACTCAAGGGGCTGCCTATTTCGCCTAGGATCCAATACAGCTTCCTCCACCTGGCACGTAAAGCCCTTCATGAGCAAGCCCCCGTCTACCTTCCCAGGCTTTTTGGGGTTATTTCACCTTCGCTCACTAAACAATCCAGACAAACTGGCCTTCTGGCTCTTCCTCACATTTCCATGGTCGCCAATGCTAGGGAGAAACTCCCTCCTGGCCTTTGCTTCTTCAAATCCCTACTTTCCATGAAAGCTCTTCTCAAGCTCATGGCTTCTACGTGGATCTTTCCTGATCCTGTCCCATCGCTGCAAAAAGGACCTCATGCCTATTTTGTATGGACTTAGAAGTGTACGTGATGTCCCCTTTGATAGTAGGTTAACTGTCTCATCTTTGCCTCTTTACCCTCAGGAACTGGGATACTGTCTGGCATTATTAAAAGCAACAAGACTCCATTCCTGATGTTGTTACTTCAGTAACAATGATTTTCAATTCCGTTCAATCTAACCATCATTTGTTAAGCAACTTTGTAGAAAGCTGCAGGCTAGGTTCTGGCGATACTAAGGCAAAACGTGAAATACTTCCTGCCTTCAGGGAACTTACATTCTCCTAGAGGCTAAAAAACAGACCCAGATTAGTAAATACAAAGTAATTCAGATAGGGAGATGGCATTGACAACTGAGAGAATAAGGCAGGATTTCAAGGAAATGATGCCTCCTCCAGGATAAACTGATCATCTGAAATCTCATTACCTGGCTGGCTGACTCAGCCTTGGATACTCACCAACCTTCTCAGCTCCCTCAGCAGCCTCTGACTGGAGGACTGGAGGACTGGAGGAGGGGAGCAAGAAACTCCTCCAACACCTTCCCTTACAGAGAGGGCTCAGAGCTCTCAGAACTTCCCGGTGACTCTCCATTTTCCATTAGCAGCTCAGCTTGGTTTCCCCATGGACCATCATGACCTCATGTTGGGTACTTCCTGGGGCCCCTAGCCAGGTTTTTCAGCCTCCTTTTGTGTATTGTCTTCCTCTACTAGATATCACACTATCTTTTTTGTATGCCAGGGCTTAGCACAGCACACAGTAGGCACTTAATGAATGTTTATTGAATTGAATTAACATGAAATAAGGCAGAAGCCTGACTATACAGGGCCTTAAAATAGAGGCTGAGAAGTTTGTAGTTTGACCTGTAAGGAACAGGGAGCCATTGAAGGTTCTTGAGCACAGGAATAAGACAGACTTAGGAAAAGTTTAGGAAGATAACTGGCAACTTCAGGAACTGGAGCAGGAAGAGGCTGAAAGATTTTCATATTTGGGATCAGCTCCATAATTTCATCAGTGTAAGGAACTCCCATCAAGGAAACTCCCTTTACCAATGCCCTCTCTCTACCAATTTGGATCAGTAACTGCTCTACAACTCAGTATCTCAAAAGGTTTCCTCAGGTGCTGAGAGATTAAGTGACACACAGCCAGCATCTGTCAGAGGCAGGACATAAACCAAGGGGTCTTACCCTGGAGGACTTGATTCTTTCATCTCCCAGGATCCAAGCTGTCTCCAGCCATGTGGCCACCTTCTTACCTCTGCCCTGCTGGTGAGTGTGAGCCCCCACCACCCTACCCAACTTTCAAGCTCAGGAACCATAATCAGATCAATAGTACCATGGCAACTGGAAAAGGTTCAGTCTATGGATCTAAACCCCTATGATTCCATTCACCAAACCTGTGTTTTTAGAAACCACAACACACCTCTCCAGACTCCACTTCCCTATACATACTTTCTTCCCCTAAAAGAACGTAAGTTCCCTGAAGGCAGGGGCTATATCATTTTTATATTTGTATCTCCAGCAAATAGCCCAGTAAGTCCATGATAATTTTTTTCATTCATTCATTTTCACTCATTAATTAATTAATTCCTGCCTGTAAAGCCTGCTCTCCTGTCCTGACAGCACACTGCCTTTCTCCAGATAATACACTAAAAACCACTCACCAACCCTATGACATCCTTCATACATGGGGATTATGCTCTGAATCAGATGAGCAGGATAAGTTCATTGTAAGAAGCCGTGATGGTTTACTTAGACATCCAGTTTTCATTTACTGGGGGGGAGGGGGCCTACAGCACTCAGGCCACCATACAAGGTGCCGTGCCTTACAATCATCTGTGAGATAACTTCTCCGAATTAGCAGGATATCAGGTAACAAGAGAGAAGTGATGTTACTCCTATATAAATGAATGCCCACCCATTCACTCATTCATTATGTAACAGACAGAATTCAACTTTCTCTTGTACGAAGCTAATAGAGCCTGGATGGGTGAAATGTATTACACACACACACACACACACACACACACACACACACACATACACACACACACATACACCCCCCAGGGCCACATGGATGGTTAGCAGGAGCAATGGTATCCAGAATCAGTCCCAATTCTGATACTCACTACCTGCCTGACCTACATCCAGTCTCTTCTCTTGCTATTCCTTACACATAAAACCCCATCTCCAGACTCCATGCCTTTGCACTGGCTGTGCCCCATGCCTAGAATCCCTCCCTCCTCAACTCCAGGTCTTGGTTTCCTTCAAGAGTCAGCTCACATCCCACATTTTGCAGGCAGACTTTCCTGGGCCCCCAGCTAGACCCTTCCCTCTGAGATGACCTTCCATCTAGTGTGGGCCTATTTTCTTTGTACTGAGTTATTTACATGTTACCTTACCCGTTAGAATGTGAGCTCCTTGAGAAAATAGATGGGTTTTGCCTGTCTTTGTAACCCCAGCACTTGGCACAATGCCAGTAAACACTTAATAAATGTTTGTTCACACCCAGCGAAAATGAGCGTGATCTTTCAGGGGAGGAGATGGATATTCAACTAAATAGGGGACTTCCAAACCTTCCTGATAAAAAGACCAGAGCTCAACAGAAAATCTGATCTTCAAATACTAGACTCAAGAAAGACATAAAAAGGTAAATGGGACAGAAAGAAATAACATGTTATCAATAAGGGCAAACTGTTTACATCCCTACAAGGGAAGATGACACTTGCAACTCTTGAGAATTGTATTGTTATTACACCGAGTTAAAGGGGTATACATAAAGGGGGTGGGTATAAGTTGACTTTGATGTAACGATCAAAAAAAAATCTAATCAAGTGGGTTAAATGGATCCAAGTAAGTGGATTAATCTGATCTAACTAAGAAAATGTACTGAAAGAAAAGGAAAGGAGGAGGCAGACAAGGGTAAATTATATCACAGGAAAAGGCACAAAAACCTATTACAGCAGAGGGAAAGAAGGGAGGGAGATGAGCATAGTTTGAACCTTACTCTTATCAGATTTGGCTCAAGAAGGGAGTAACAGAATCAGTTAGGTACTAACTTGGATAGACTTAGCCCTTTACAGCAATGCAAGGATCTAAAACATCTCCAAAAGTCTCGTGATGGAAAATGCTATCCACATCCAAAGAAAGAACTACAGAGTTTGAATGCAGATCGAAGCATACTATTTGTTACTTTTTTCTTCTGTTTTGTTTTCTCTTTTTTGTGGTTCCTCCTATTAATTCTAAGTCTTACTTACAATATCACTAATGTGAAAATATGTTTAATAGGAATATATATGTATAGCCTGTATCAGATTGTGCGCCGTCTTGGTGAGGGAGCCAGGGAAGGAGGGGGAGAAAAATTTAAAACTCAAAAGCTTATGGAAGGGATTGTTGATAAATCAAAATAAATTCATAAAAAAAAAATGCTTGTTCACTAAGTGACATCTCTAAACTTCAGTGTTTTCCTTTACCAATGGGCAGAGGGAGGGAGAGCAGGCTGACCCCCGGGGTCCCCTTTGCCTCTAAATCCTAAGATGGTGGGCACAAATGGAACCCATGACCTTGGCCAGTTGAGCTAACTGGCCCAGACCCACGGGTAGCCTTGATGTATCTGAGGGAGAAAGGCCTGGAGAACAGAGGAGAAAGCTTTCCAAGGACAAGGACAACTTACCCATAACCCTCCAGGGCACATCCCAACATCAGAAAAGTTAGGCCAATGGCTCCAGTGAAGGACAAAGCAACAAGGGCTGTGGGAGACAAAGGGGAAGAGGTAAGCTGGCGAGGCCATGACAGGTTCTATGTTTCAGTATTTTCGGATTTTCCATTCAGAATTATCCTATTCACTGTTTCTCATAAGTGGCATAGGCCTTGAAGAACATTGGTCTAGAACTGGGAGGAAACTCATAGGCCACAAAGTCCCACCCTTTCTCCTGACAGATGAGGAAACCGAGGCCCGAGGAGGTTCAGTCAATTGCCCAAAGGTCACACATTCCATCTCTCCTCTTCATAAACTGCCCCCATGCCTAGAACTCTCCTTCCTCACCTCAGCCTCATAGACAATTAGAGCTATCTAAAAATGGAATGGCCAGCTTTGAAATGAGTTCCCCATCCCTGGAGGTCTTCAAGGACAGCCTGGATGATCAATGTACTGATGCCTCCGATATTTACTAACTGTGTAATTCTGAGCAGGTTTTCTAAGTCTTCAGTCTTCCTATCTGTAAAATGGGGATGATATCTCCACTGCCTGAGACTCAGCATGAAGACAGCATATAGAAATGGGAGCTATTACTAACAGAGACAATTCTTGTTGAGGTCCTGGTCAGACTGGAAGACTCCTGAGAAATTTTCCCACTCTAAGATCCTGTTAAAACCTTCACATTTCTGTGTCTCAGTTTCCTCAATTGTAAGATGAAGGGCTGGGGGTGTAATGGAGAGATGCTGGATTTGGAATTATGAAGACCTGAGTGTGAATCCTGCTTCAGTCACTCACTACCTATGTGACCCTGGGCAGTCACTTCACCTTTTACAAGGCTGCTTTCTCATCTGCAAAATGGGAATAGCCTCTGCTTCCCAGGATTGTCAGGAGGATCAAATAAGCTAGTTCCTGCAGAGAGCTCTGCAAACGTTAAAGGGTTGGCCGGCTGTTTTCATTATTAGATCTTTTTTAGCTCTAAATCAATGATCCCAAGGTATACTGAATACAGCAAGTGCTTAATGTGTGCTGATCGAATGAGTCAATGAGAAAGTTTCTTCTAACCTAATGAAGTTTTCCACAGACTACATTTTTCTTTGCTTTCCTGATCTTCTGTCTTTTATCCTGCTATAGTTATTTGTGAGATCATTGTTCTTGTTCTGCTTGGAAAAGATATATTTGTCAAGATGATTTTATTTTATTTCATGAACTAAAATTCCTGTCTTCTGGTTTTACATGTGCCAGTTTCAGTCGATTTATAGCCAGTATGTTTATATTTTCTGACTCAAGTTTTTCCTTTTACATTTGGACAAGACATTGTTAGGCTAAGGGGCTGGATCTGTGATTTCAAAGGTATAAGGAGGTCCCAGATGAGGGACAAAGGTAGACAGCACCTGCTCTGTAACTTATAGTCATAGAGATTTGTCTAGAACACAACGATTAATGATTTGCTCAAGGTCACATGGCCACTATGTATCCAAGACATGACTGGAACCCAGGTCTTCCTGGCTCCAAAGCTGGCTCTCCATCTACTACACCAAACTGACCTTGCTGTGATCTTAAAAAAAAAAATTAAAGGGTAATATTTCTAGTTTTGTTTTGTTTTTTAAATTTACCCAGATCTGTGGAGCTCACCCTGGGCACTGGTGTCCAATTCAAATAGAAATGAGCCAACCATACATAATGATCCATGCCAGCCTCACGTTGAACTGGAAAACCACACAGTAACATTATCTATATTCCATTGTATTTGCATTTACTTGGTTAAACATTTCCCAATTACATTTTAATCTGGTATAGCCACCAGCCAGCAGCAGTGTGTCTGACACCTCTGATCTAGGACACCCTTCCATTTTACAAATGAGGAACTTGAGACTTAGAAAAGGCTTCCTTAGTGACTTTCCTACAGGCACCAACTGTTACATTTGAAAATTCATGTGAACTGAGAAGCAATGATTTGAGCTGATCAATTTCTTCGTTAGGCTAGCAGAAACCAGTAAGTTGGATCAATTGCTGTTGTTGAATTATTTCAGTCCTGTCCAACTCTTGGTGACCCTATCTGGGTTTTTCTTGGCAAAGATACTGGAGGGGTTAGGGATTTCCTTCTCCAGAAATTGGGTCAATGGCCTCTCTCTATGACCGAGGACCCTAAGGTGGGGTTTACCAGCCTTCGTACAGTTTTGGGAAGTACAAAAGAACCAGCAACAGAAAGCATCAAACCAGATGATTGGTTACAAAGTCTAAAGTACCATAGATAATAGATAACAACATGATTGCATGGAAGTCAGGAATGCAGAGCTGGCCTCAACCCCTGCTTTTATCTTGTTGCTACAGAAAGCTCCCGGGTGGTATCCACCTACATGGGTAACAGTCCAGACTTACTTGAAGGACGGACAGTTTTGCAGAGATAGCAGACTCCCGGGCACCCATCTGCCTCTTGCAAGGCTTGTTAGCAAGACAACAAGTCTCCCTTAATTGTACATGGGCAGTAAGATGTGTAGAGACAACATATTTCTTTAAATTAGGGTGATTTATGGGACAACTTAATTCAGAGAGGAAAGCTGAACATCTGAACTTAACTCAGAGACAAATTTTTCGATTTTTCAACCTATAAGGGGTGATTCCAAAATGGAATCAGAATCAATTTGATTTTCTCAGTAGCATCAGATAACTACTGTGAGACATAAATAGGACAGCAACCTTGTGATTTCTAAGAACAGCCACCTTTCACCACATATTGTATATCTATACATTTTCATTTTCATATTCATATTCCTGGCATCTCTAATTCCCTCTGTTTGGGGGCCACCCTCATGCCTCAGACAGTTCAGAACCCCTGGATGCTCTAACAGTACCACGGCCAAAACCGAAACCAAACAAAATTACACCGTGGCCAATACTTGTTGAGATGCTTACTTTCATTACTTTCCTTAGGTGGTCCTTTAATGGCTGCTATTATTACGGTTTCAGTTCAAAATCAATGATCTAATCTGTACATGTGAGAAGCCAGCTTAGCTTTGACTTCACAGCCATAACACCAGAGAGCTGAAGACCCTCCCCTTGCCCAAATCCTAAGAATTAGGATGGGAAGGGCCCAAAGAGATCATCTAGCTCAGCCCTCTCATTTCACAGATGAAGACACTGAGGCTAAAACCTGTGTGCCATGAGTTTGGAGGAAACATCTTCTCTCACCTTAGGGTTACTATTTCTGGTTATTATTAGGTCTGGTTATTATGAAGTTAGGGTTATTATTTCTGGTCAAAGAAAGGAAGCTAGAGGGTTGGGTAGAACAAGGAGAGATTCTCTGCCCTTTTCTCTTTCTCAAAGGGAGGCCTCCACTAGCTTAAATTTCTAGTTCCACCAAGGCATTTGGATGGAGATGAGATAAACAGATATCTCCCACCCCACCAAGAAGGCTTGATGAGATTATCTACAGGGAAACTCGAGGACACCAACATTAACAAGTTACCTCTGGTTAAGACATTTTCTTCCCCTTTCTCCCCACAAATCACTGGGTATGCTGTTCCTCTTTATTACTCAATCTCCCAAGTTGGGAAAGTGGCCAAGCAGTCTCACCCAACAGGCTCCTTTTGCCTCTTGGCCCAAGGTTGTGTAAATCCCTCTTTATGTGAGTCTCCCTTTTGTTCTAGGGGGGTCTTAGCCACCTGGCAACTCTGTCCATCTGCTAAGCCTGACTGAACTTCTTAGCTTTGAGACTTGCCTACAGGAAACCTCCCCAAAACCTCTTAATTCCAGTGCGCCATCCCTTTTAAAGTTATTTCCTATTTATCTCGTATATAACTTGTTTTGTAATCATTTGTTTGCATGTCATTGTCTCCCGTTAGATTACAGGCTTCTTGAGAGTAGCCTGTCCTTTGCTTCTTTTGGTATTCTCAGCCATTAGCACTGAGCCTGGCACACAGTAAATGCTTAATAAATGCTTATGGATTGATTGATTGATTGATTCCCCCAGTCAAAGGGACTAAGACAGGAAGAATTACTCTCCAGGAGGATCTGACGACCTCTGGGTTGAGAAATTCCCAGAAGAATTAATTCAATGCTCTCATTTCATAGATGATGCAGGGTTAGAATCTGAATCCACAACTTCTGATTCCAAATCACAGGCTTTTCCCACTGTACCATGCTGCTGCTCACAAAGTGTTCCTAGAGTAGTTTCAATCTTAGTAGCCATTAAATGGTTTGTAAAAGTTGACAGAGGGTAGGGGAAAAAAAAACTGTTTCAGCACAATATAACAAAGCACGTGTGTGTGTGTGTGTGTGTGTGTGTGTGTGTGTGTGTTTCCAAAATAAAAACTGAGAAAAGACTCCTAAAGGACTACTGAGAAGGTCACCAACAAGCATTTAAATGCCTACTATGTGCCAGGCACAGTGTGGCCATTTACAACAGAAAGTGGGCAGCATCTCAGCCTAAATGTCTCTGAATGTCTGGAGGCCTTTGTTGGCACTTATGATACTGGCTGTGGGGCAGAAGGCACTAAGTCACTTAGCTTCTCGTTGCCCCAGTCAATTTTCTGTCTCCCTGTTACAAACAGATGGACCAAAGTGTTCCCAGCTGACAGAAAACCTAGGTCTAGGTCCCCGCCTGCCCCAACTTGGAGCTTGAGTGCTACATTAATGTCCCTGCAAGTAATGAGGCATGGGCTACTTCCCACTGATAGGCAGCACGGTACAGTGAGAAGCGCACAGGTGCTGGAGGTCAAGGGCTGGAGTTCAAATGCTACCTTAATTGTTACTTTTTGGCTGTGGGACCCTAGACAAGTCACCCCTGTCCAAATCTATGATCCCACCACTTATGCCCTTTGGGACCTTGGGCAGGTCTCTGGCCTTCTTTGGGATTCAAATTCCTTATCTGGAAAATGAGGAAGGTTGACCTCTAAACCCCATCCTCCCCAGCTCTGGCTTAGGACCCAATGGCAGGAAGGCTCAATTTACATGGACAGACAACTGACCCTTCTTATTTTTCATCTTGTGGATCTCTCTCCCCATATGCTCTCTCCAACAGGAAGTCTTTCCTTCACAAGCCTTATTCTCCCTCCTTCCCACTGCCCACTCTGATCTACGGCACTTCCTGTTCACATGCTCCCTGGATGTCTATGTTTTGAGTTTGATTAAGAGCTCCATAGTTAGGAGGGAAGGGGCTGTAATGAGATTCTTTTTTTCTGGGTCAGTTTCTTCTGGCTTACATTTGACATTGGGAACAGTCCAAGAACCCAATGCTGACAAATTGATATTAAAAATGAAAATCGACCCAGAAGAAAACACAGGCTAGTTTCTAGTGGAACACAACCTCCGAGCTGCTGACTTGGGACAAGCAGACCTCATCATACTGAGTATCCAAAACCTCCATTTTCTCTTTCTTCTATTTTCTATTTGCTTCAGTTCAGACAGTCCTTCCACCAGCACTAATAGCAGCTCTCCCACTCTCCCTCACCCTCTTTAAGGGTTACAGTGACAAAATTCACTGCCTTGCAGCAAACTTGAACTCAGAACTTAGCTCAGATGGTCTATGGACAGCAGCCTATAGCCCTTAAATTTATAGATACTTGTATATTTTAATGTATGTAAAAAAAAGTCCTTTATAAACCTCAAAGTACTATATAAATGTGAACTGTCAGTATCATTATATTGGGCGGTTTTAGTTTGAGAAGCAGTGTAGGACAGTGGTTAGGGAGACAGGCTTGGCGTTAGAAACACTTGGCTTCAAGTCCCATCTGGAAGCTGTCATCAGGAAAATGAATCTTCCTGACTTCCCCGAAATGGATACAGCACCAGGCCTAGAGCCAGAAGAATCATCGACCTGAGTTCAAATCGGCCCTCAGATACTTACTAGCTGTGTAACCTTGAGCTAGTCACTTCACTCTGTTTGCCTCAGTTTCCTCCGCTGTAAAGTGAGCTGGAGAAAGAAAAGGCAAACCACTTCAGTATCTTTGCCAAGAAAACCCCAAATGAGGTCGAGTCAGACACGACTGAAACCCAGCTGAACAAAAATTTGTGACCGTCTACAAGTCACCTCTCAGTGCTCTAGGGTGAAGGCTCTCTAAAACTATAAACTGGCAAGAAGGTGAGACTGCATTAGTGAAGGTGCTTTCTTTGTCTCAGTGAAACCCCAGGTCTGGGCCCATCCCGCAGGATCACAGACTTAGAATGAGGGCTGGAAGGGACGTGAGAAGCCATACAGTCCGACCCCCCTCATTTTACAGACGAGGAAACTGAGACCAAAGGAATTGAACGGCACGCTGGAGACCCCACAGGGAGTAAATAGCAGATCCCGGAACGGAAGCCTGGAGCTCTCTCCCAATCCATCAGCCGTCCCAGTGTGCCACCCCCCGGTTTGCTGAGGCTAAGGGACACAGCGACTTGCCCAGCGTCGCGGAGCTGGAGTCCAGACTCCCGAGCAGGGCGTCCCTTTCACTCCCGCCCGTGGACAACTCCTCGTCCGCCCTCCCAGTCCCACCCCGAGGGCTCCCGGGGAAGGAGCCGCACCGCCCGCTGGACGACGTGTCCCGGGGGCAGGACGAGGAAAAGGAAAGGATGACGGTAGGGAAGAAGGACGGCTCGCTGGGGTGGGAGGGAGACACGGCCGGTCCTGGGGCGCAGAAGAGGCTCCCGGGGCCAGACGCCGACTGCGAAGGGACGGATGGCCCCAGCCTCTGGGGCTGGCCCCCCGCAGGGATCGCGGTGGGGGCGGGGGAGTAGCGGGGGGTACCTTTAATCCCGGCCATGTCTCCAGAGCGGGAGCCCCACTGGCTTCCGGCTTCCTGCTACAGCCCGGGGCAGTCCCCGCCTTGTGTGAGCCAGTGCCTGGCGGGGCCAGCCCGGCCCCCCCCGCCCCCCCCCCCCGGCCCCCCCGGGCGCCGCCCCCCGCCCCCAGGGCCGCGCCCCCCCCCCATCTCGCCCCACCCCCCGCCTGGCCACGCCCCGCAGCATCCCGATCTATTCGCTCAAAGCCAGGACCGGCCCCCCTGCCCCCGAGACCCGCCTGGCCACACCCCCCACGTCTGGTTTTGGACCAAGCTCTTCGGAGGGGGGGGCCCGCGCCCTCGCATCCTCATTCCACAGCCTTCAGTTTGACCACGCCCCGCAGCATCTCGCTAAGGGCTAATGCACCCCGCACCCCACCCAGCTCCCCGGCTTGGAATCTCCTTAGGATCGCCCCGCCCCGTCTGGCCATACTCCCCCCCGCCAGCCGCCCCACCTCGTACATCTCCATCCCAGAGCGTCGCAGGCCCAGGACGCGGCAGCCTCCCGCTGGGGTCCCCATCCTGACCCCGCTTGGCCTCCAGCACAGAGCCCTCCTCTTCCGTCCGCCCCCCCCGCTCCTCGTCCGGCGAGCCCCAGCAGTCACCAAGCCCAGATCTCGCCCCCTGCCCAGCCCTGACAGCTTGCTGCTGTACCTGGTCTGAGCTCTGAGCCCTCCACTGGGCCCCGACGTCAGCGCCAGCGCCAGCGCCTTTGTCCTCCTTCCCCATCCTTCCCCACCTCATCTGAACCTCATGGGAAGCCAGGAGCCAGGAGCAGGCCCCAGCCTTCTTCCCGCCTCACGGAACCGAGCCAACTCCCGCCCCAAACTCATCCCACTAGGAGCTCCCCATCCCTAGCCGGCCCAATCAGAGCCCAGCCCAGCCCGTGAGCCTCCTACCCACGCCACCCCCTCTGAAAGGGACACGGTTACTGTTAAAGGAGGCCGAGAACTTCCTGAAAAGAACGAGAGAAGGGATGAGAAGGGTCTCGGAGCGATAAGATGCTGAAAGATGGATCGGTCAAAGCAATGGACTTGGGACTGAGAGAGGAAAAGAAAGAGAGCGATGTACCTCGGGCCGGTCCCTAGCCACGCTCACACACATCTTTCCTGACCACCAAGTCGGGCTGGTGTGATGGAGACTGGGCCAGCCTTGGCTAAGAGAGCCGGGCTTCCGTCCTCCCTCCCTCCCTACGAGCTCTGTGACCTCGAGCCAGTGACTTTAACCCTCAGGGATTTCAGACAGCTCTTAGAAACTGACCCAGAAATCGAGTTGTTGATGGGCATAGGTGGAAAGCATTCCAGAACGGGCGGTTCTCTAGAGCTACGGTCAAATCACAAGTCCAGAGAACCCCAGTTCCTCCATTCTTTATTTTGGAGGATCGTACTGTGATAGACCCTCCGTTAGGACCCAGGGGCACCACGCCCCGGGGCC